TAAATATATCTTTATTGATTTCAGAGAGAGGAAAGGAGAGGGAGAGAGAGAGACAGAAACATCAATGATGAGTCATTGATCGGCTGCCTCCTGCAGGCCCCCAACTGGGGATCGCCCCGGGCATGTGCCCTGACCGGGAATCGAACCCCGACTGCCTGGATCCTAGGTTGACGCTCAAGCGCTGAGCCACGCCCAGCCGGGCAAAGATAAATTTTTTAAAAAATAACATTTAACCATGTTACCATCCATACCCCTTTGAAGGACAGCCTGCAAGGTTATGAGTGTTAATACTACCTTACTGGTACTAGTAAAGAATTTATTACATTTGTGCAGAACTTACAAGAGCCAAGTATATCATTCTGGGACCTGATGGGCTGCGATTAATTTGAAATTACCTCAGGCTGTCCGCCGGTCATCTTGATCTAAATGAAAGTGAAATGGAGCAATATTAGCTGACAATATGCGAGTGAATACAAGGTGGAGAGGCCGTAAAGCTGAAACTGAACTTCATGAAATAAATACCTCACAGACTTGTGACTGGTGGTTTCCATGCTCCTGGGGCAAAAGTAACCATGCCTGGATGTCATTACTTATTGGTCCAATGTTGCCGCTGAACCATCAAAAACCAGCCTCTCTTACTTTCCTTTGGGTGGTGACCAAATTCAAAGGTTTGTTATACTGGGAAATAGTATTGTACCCATCTGTTCACAAATAATGGCAACAACTGAGTGATAGAATGTGTTAAGAGACCACTGGGCAATCCCACTTCAGCAACCAGGCCAGGGGCTTTCTTGGCCATTTGAAACCTGGCAATGCTGTTTTTTTTCAGAGAATAACAGAATTGGTCGTTTTCATCCCTGAAAAAGAATGTATGTGAGTTATACCTATATATTATAATAAAGCAGGGATGTCCTTTTATCGTTGTATTTTGCAAAAGCATGGAAAATTTTTGCATGCCTATTGTATTTGTCTGTTAGAGAAAAGCAGCCCCTCCTAGTGCCCAAGTAAGAAAGGATAAATTATAGTTGAATGCTATTACTGTTATTCAATCACTTCAGGATTTAAAGCTCACTTACCAGATCATGTAAGATTGGGCAAATCATCCTCTCCGGGCCTGTTCACTAAATGAAGAAAGTTACTGGGGTTTGGGGAGGTGAAAACGAGGTATAAAATACCTAGCCAGGCCCAGAACGTGCATTCAGTAAGTTTCCTTCCTCCCTTCTGTGAGAGCATTGTTCCAGATCAGGTTATCTTAAGGAACACACCTCAATTAAACATAAGAAGTCAACTAATTATTTGAACAATAGATCTTTCTGTACGTTTGATATTAAAATTCACTGCCTGATTCTTGGATTTGAAGGCTTTTAACCAAAGTGGCATAAACCTGTGGAAACACTGCTTCTACACACAGAGTAATTATTTCCATGGAGCCATCCATTCGTGCTACAGAGAGGACTTGCAAGCAGCAGCATTTTACAGAAGAGTTCTAGACAACAGCTTCTCCTCCAGATTGTACTACATTTCCTCTCTGAATACAAAACAGGTCCTGAAGTTGGGGCCATGCACAGGTAGAGCTGGTGTGTACTCTGCTCCAGAACAAACACTGACAGAAGTTCTGGCAGCCTTCCCGCTCGCCTGAGAATATAGATGCTGCTGAAATGAAGAATATCCATTACTTCTAAAATATTTTCAAGGAAAAAAACAATACATCTTTGCCTGAAAAGAAATTCCAAGATACTGATACCAGTTTCCAGTATCCATTTTATGGGAAGAAACTATAAACTGATAAGTTTCTATACTTAAATGCCACCAATAGTGTCATTTTGGGAAGTAAAGGAGGTTATTTTAATGGACGGAAAATCTGTCTTTTTCTACACCTTAAAACAGGGACTGGAAAACTACTGCCCATGGCCAGCTGCCTGTTTCTATAACTAAGGTTTTATTAGAACACAGCCCCGCCCACTTAATTTCATTGTCTACATCAACTTTCATTCAGCAGAGTTGAGTAGTTGCAACAGACATAACATGTGGCCTAAAGTCAAAAATATTTACTATCTGGCCTAGAGAAAAAGCTTACCACCCTGACCAGGGTGGATCAGTTGGTTGGAGTGTCATTCTGTACACCAAAAAGACGGCAGGTTCGACTCCTGGCCAGGGCACATATTTAGGTTGTGGGTTAAATCCCCAGTTGAGGAGCATACAGGAGGCAACAAATTGATGTTTCTTTCTTTCTTTCTCTCTCTCTCCACCCCCTTCCTCTCTCTCTCTAAAATCAGTAAAAACATGTCCTTGGGTGAGAATTTTAAAAAAAGAAAAAGAAAGAAAAAAGCTTGCCAACCGCTGCATTAAAATATTACCATGCTATGCTAAGGCTAAGTAAAACTTCATTAGAAAGAAAACTAAGCCTGGCCAGCTTGGCTCAGCGGTTGAGCACCGACCTATGATCCAGGAGATCACGGTTCAATTTCTGGTTAGGGCACATGCCTGGGTTGCAGGCAGCCAATCAATGACTCTCATCATTGATGTTTTTATCTATCCCTCTCCCTTCCTCTCTCTGAAAAAAATCAATAAAATAAATTTTTTTTTTTTTTTTAAAAAAAAAGGAAGAAAGAAAAGGTAGAATACAAAAGTACAAATGACATGCTTGCTCTGATTCAGGCACTTTCAATATGATAGTTTATTTATTACTCAGATAAAAAGATAGTGTACATATTAGAGAATCCATCTAGTACTTCTGCATTGAATGTTAACCAAAAAAACCTCTAGACACCTGAAAGCCCCACTATTAACATGAACTATGGTAATAAAAAATTTGACATTTAATTTGTTCAATATATAGTATTTACATTATGAAATCAAAGGTGATATTACTGATAAACAGTGATAAAGAAATAGTAAAAAGCAAAAGTTTATATTTTTACAATGTGCTAATTGTCATAATTATATATAAAAATTAAAACATAGCAGAGCTTTCTGTTATAAAATTCTTAATCATCTGAACTGTGGTCATTACTTGCTAACAATTTACATGCAACATCTGCTATAAATGACATTTGATTTTTTTTTTTTTACCCAAGAAATTTTGAGTAGATAAATGACATTTAAGAGCAGACATTAATTTACTTGCGGTCAAAAAACCAAAAAACTGTACTCAAGATTAGTACTGGTCACAAACCTCTTCCATATAGAAATGATAAAAACAGTAAGACCAAAAAGTTGCAAAAAGGAGTTGCACAGATAGAGTGCCATGAATGGCACAGCTCAAAAAACCTTGGGGTCAGACACACATTTTTTTCTCTCTCCTTCAATGATGGTCTATTTTGCCATCAAATAATAACTGAAGTAAGTGAGGGCACCAGATGTACAACTAATTAAGTCTTGCAAAATACTAAGATGGAGGCAGGTGTCGCCAGAAGAAAGGGCAATTTATATATGATTCAAACTATACACAGAATAACTGGAATGCAACCCATCCCA